TATATATATATATATATATATATATATATATATATAAAATGAAATAAACAATTTATAAAAATTTCATTATCAGTTTACATGTTTTGAAATACTGAATAACATTATTTGATGTATCTTTTGCATGCTTTATACTTTTGAGAATTTACAAAGGAGGAAAATGTTTTCACAATGTTGCAGCAATGTCATTTGCACAACTTTTATAGAAACACAAATTGTAGCCTAAATAATATGTTTATACTTTCTACTGTGCCTTAATGTCATGATACAGAAGACTGTTTAATGCAAGTATTATTAATTAATTTATTTTGGAAGTGAATATTTAATGATTGTTTAGTTTTTTTCATAACAAGAGAATTAAAAGCAATTATTTTAAAGTAAACATTATGACAAGTTTAGTTAAGTAACTTGGTATGAATCGTACATTGTGTGAAATTTATTGATGTCAAGGATATAGAAATTTCTAGAAGGGGAGCAGATGATTAAGTGATAAATATATAAATAGTGTTAGATGAGCAGGAACAGCAGACAACAGAGTGGGAAGAGAGCCAAAAGTAAAGCAGAGTGAAAGAGAGTTTCAGTCAGAGAAAGTGAATAACCACCATAGGTGTAAATAGTCTAATGGTTGATATGTTAGTAAAATTAACAGTTTTCTGACATTTTAGGAGAATAATCTGTCTCGTCAAAGAGTATTCTAAAGCAACTGAACCTGCCTCTGTGGACTTTGACAAAACGTAGACGATTATTTGAAAGTAGGCCTATATGCGAAAAGCAGATGTTTATTGGAAGTATGCCTAAATACAAAAAAGCACACAAGTATCAGAAGTTCAGAATACAACTCCAGTAACTCAATGACAGCAATCACTGGCTGCAAAAGGATAAGAGAGTAGCATTCAGTATAATTTATAAGCAGTAATTTATGAATAAAATTTTATATATTTGCCAAATTGTGTAGTTTTAACACTTTCACGGATTATTTGAAAAATTATCAACAAGGCATTTTCATGGAAAGACCTCCAGATAAGTGTTGAGAATTTTTGAGATTATTATTAAATTTAGTATCTAAGAAAACGAAATAGAAATTGTTGTCTAATTAACCATTCTCAGTCATTGTTTTTATTTCATGTATGTTACAGAAGCCTGCCTTCAGACCCACCCAAAGCTGTATGAAAACACTATAGAAGAACAGGTGGCAGAATTTCTAAAACATGCTCCCAATAAGCCAAGAGGAACGATGCACAAGGCATGTTAGAGTCAATAATTCTATAGTGAGAATTTGTAATGGAGTTTTCCCTTACATTCTGTCATTATGTAATTAAAAGTTATGTTCATAAAATAAATATATATGATGTTAGATATTCTGCAGAAATCTACTTCAGCAAATGGTGCTTAAACATTGGGAAATGATTGTGTGGAAAAAGAAGAGCTGACTGATGACTAGAAAAACCTCCAAGTATCATCAATAATAATTGCAATCAAATTTTGTAAACTTTTTTTTATCAGAATAAATAAAGTTATAAGAATGAAAGAATTTATTATTTTATCAGCTAAACTAAAAGATTGGGCTTTAACCCTCTTAAAAGCAGTGGGCAGCCCTCTTTCAGTATATAAAATTAAAGATTCTAATCAACAATAATCTAGTTTTCCATCATTCTTTAATATTTTCCAGATGAGAAAGCTAGTATACTGTTACCAGAATTAATACAGAAACAAAAAATTTAGTTCTGATGAATAAATAACTACTGGATACATTTACAAGAATTTAGCCACAATAACCAAAAACAAAACTCTAAGATGAAGTATTTTTAATATAAAAATAAAGAAGTGTTTCACAAGAATATGTCCAAAAATTCATAACCAAAATTACATAAATAGTACACTAAATTGTTATATATTCAAGCAAAAAGTACAGTTTGTACCAATTTCATACAATTATGCTAAGTATAAGCGTGAGAACAAACAGTAGTGACATCATGCCACCCTGGCAGTCCAAATAGAATTAAAAGTCAGTGGTTGTAGGAAAGCAGCAATACAACATAAAACCATAATGTTGTAGCAATGTTTATGAGAGTCCACAAATTTACGTTGCTGCAACGTAAACTTCTAATGTTATGGAAACCCAAAAATAATGTTACAGCAACATTGTCGCAATGTGAAATTGTTAGCTGGGTAATCTCCTATCTTTAGTTAATACGTTAAATTAGATGTATAAAGCGGTCTTTAATTAACAAGAATATTACCATGAAAAGTAACGTGTTTATAATGAAACTGGTATATATATTTTTTAGAAATTTTAAGAATACATACATGCAAAAATCTATTTCATCAGCAGTAATATAAAAGTATTGTCAAAGCTTTTTTTTTGTATTTGAAGAATATAAAATTTACTTTGTCAAGTTTATGTTTTAACTTTCTACCACACAAACTATGTACATTTATGCAAATTTAACATAATGTTAGCTTTAGTTCAGAAAGCCTTATATTTACTTTGTCAAATAATGCATAAAAAAAACTGTCTGAATATTGAATAAAAGCCCACGGGGCTTTTCAATCATAAATTATTTGACAGATATGTCTTAGCATACTATGATGATGAAAAAAAAAATGACCTAAAACTTTATTCTTGAAATATCTATTAACTCTTGAATGTAAGGATTAATGAAGTGAAATTTAATAATATCAGTAGTAGTAGTAGTAGTGTTAAAAAAACAACAAAAAAAAACAGACCAAACAAATACATTTGTTTTTTCAGATAAATGCTTGATAGTGCATCTCTCTATCATGAAATAAATAATTCAATGCTGCAATATCTTTTAATTACAAAAAATACATACATTTTGAAATTTAGATTGGAGAAAAAAGATCTGCACACTACTTCAGCATTCATGTCTGTCAAACATTCAAAGTTATCAGTTATTTTTAGCAATGACTTTCTGCTGATGGCTTTTTTTGATCAAATCAGACAAACTCATGAGCAACACAGATACGAGTCTTTCTAACCTTAAATTTGGGCAGCATAAGCAACACAGACATGAGTCTTTCTAACCTTGAATTTGGGCAGCACGAGCAACACATACACGAGTCTTTCTAGCCTTGAATTTGGGCAGCACGAGCAACACATACACGAGTCTTTCTAGCCTTGAATTTGGGCAGCACGAGCAACACATACATGAGTCTTTCTAACCTTGAATTTTGGCAGCATAAGAAACACAGATATGAGTTCTTTCTAATCTTGAATTTGGGCAGCACAAAAAACACAGACATTAATTTTTCTAACCTTAAATTTGGGCAGCATGAGCAACATAGACATGAGTTTTTTCTAACTTTGAATTTGGGCAGCATAAGAAACACAGGCATGAATTTTTCTAACCTTCTAATCTTATTCAAAAATTAGACCTTCAGCTAATGATAGGCATAAGGCCAGTGTAAAGCTTAAATATATTTCTGCACATAACACACATGGCACCAGATCCAAAGGCTGAACCTCAGTTTACATATACAAAGACAGTAACAGACAGGACTATCCAAATATATGACAAATAGCTGGCTATCTGCTCTTTTCACAGGTAGAAAGTAGCAAGATGTTTTAGACAGATTATTAATAGACAAATTTTTTTACCATATTTATTGTGAGTTTTTCATTACATTTTGTGAAAACTCATAATAGCAAACAGACCTACTATACCTCAATAGGTAAAGATCCTCCCCCACACATTGGATCACAGACAATGTCACCTGGCTTGATTTCACATAATCTATGCAAAGATAAGGGAGAAAGAGAAAAAACAACAGCATAAAAGTCATATAAATTTAAATTTACTTTATTATTTGATTCATCAGTTCATTTGTCTGTCATACCTTCTTAAAAGATTTGATATTAGTAATAAAAAAGTTAAGTTTAAACATTTTGTATATCTGGTTACTTGCAAATAACAAAAATTGTGTAAAATAGTAACAGTTGTTAGAATGTCAGATTTTAAATGGAGTTAAAATATAACCTTGAATAAGGTTGGCAATAAAAGCAACAGATAAAAAAAAAGTTGTTCAAAATGTATCTATATATATACAAATGTTTTGGTTAAAACATAAAAATGGGAAGAGAAAATAATAAGAAATGAGTTTTAGCTTATTTAGTTATTATCAACTTCTGACCAGAGCAGGCTCCCTACTAGAAGTGAAACTAAAAATCAACCTTGTAATCACTATAGCTAATTAAATATCTTTTCTTATGTTCCTACTCATAAACATTAGAATGTATTGTTTCATCAGTTGAGTACCCTCAATGTCAATGATATTTTCAGCTAATTCCAATAATTTCTCATGAGCTGCGGCCAGCTTAGGAGACTTAGATTAGTCCTAAACACATATATTAAAGTAAAATGAAAAAACAATCTACATCTATAATAGAAGTACAATAATAAAAAGTAACAAACTTAGGTATATTAAAGAGTAATCAATACTGCTCATGACTTTACCAAATAATAAATAATATAGTATACTTAAATTGGGAAACTTATAAACAATAGCTAATGGGTTCAATTACTATAGGAGAATTAATTTTCTTCAAAAAATGCAACACCAGGTTGTGTTTTGACAATCTTTTTCAAATAGTTTCAGGGTCAGTTGAATTACTTTTGTCACTTAGTTTAAGCACTCTTTCTTCCTTTTTAGAATTTATCATTTTCGTAATGTACTTAAATTGAAGCATTGAAATGGACTTGTATTACATTCTTAGAACAGGTTAAGAAAGCCAGTAACAATTCGTCACAAAATGTGGTTAGGGTGAGTTTGGGAAAATTCAGGCACTTGAAAAAATATCACTGCAACAAGTAAAAGTGCAACTCCATCCAGCACATAAACCACTAAATTTGGCAGGAAGAAAATGTTAATGTTTTCAAAAAGTATGTTTATTTTTTTAACTCTTCAAAAAAGTTAATGTTTAGGCATTATACACATGAAGATAATTATAAGCGAGAAAAATCTTTAAGAGCATCCAGTACAATGTCTCACATTGACAAGAAACATGCTTCGTTATGCACATAAGATATTGAACTTGCTTTCCACTCACATATGCAAAAACACAGTATCATCATCACTTATCTTTTAATAGTTTTATTAGAGAATGGCCATGAAAAAAAAAAGAAGAGAACTATATGAGTAACCTGGAAATCTGCAGTTGTGTAACAATTTACAATTATTGTGGAAATAAAACATTACAGGTAAATGAGCATGTAGTTGTATAAACATGTGGTTGGTCTATAGATTCTAAAATATCACTCTACAGCTAAATATCCAGTCAGCTTATCACATAAGTAACTGAATACCGTACTATATATAAAATATACTCAAAAGAATTAACTTACAGGTGACTGGTATAATGAATATTCTAAATGTTTACAAATCAAATATTAATGCTTATGTTTTGTTCCCAAAATTTCTCAATAACAAGTCTTAAAACAACATGAAACATCCTAAGCCCAAAATCCAAGTTTAGTTCTGCCTTCAGAGAAAATAATGTATCATAATTATCAGTGTTGATTTTTTTTTTAAGTTTAAATGTTAATAAAGATATTATAAAAATCAGTAAAAACTAAAAACAAATATAAACAATGCAGTAATTAATAATATTTCAAGTCTAAGCTTAGAGTAAAATATCAGTCAAATGATACTTTGGACTACTGGTAGGTAATTTAGTCTGTGTGTTTATCACCAGCTGATAATCATCATTTGTAAAATATACTGTCACTAAATAAAATCCTTATATTTCCAATAAAATACAAACCCACAATATTATATCTAGATATAAAAATTAATATACAATATTTGTAAAGCCTTAAATTGCAATCCACATATTGTGTTATTCAAGTATATGTGTTTCTTTGTTGTTCTCAGAAATATATAATACCCATTACCACCCACGGAGGATAATGCTCAATGCTATTATTTGGAGCTTGGTCTTCAGTAGTCAGTCCTGTGATCCAGTAAAGGCAATCATCCCATGTAACATAAAGTATACACACTGCATGTTTAGTGTTGAATAAAGACTGTTCATTTTGTATTACACTTTGTGTTCAGTCTCATTACTTCATTTTACATCTAAGTTAACAAGAGATTCAATATTACTTCATAATTATTATCTTGAGCGAATCTCCTGTAATCTAGCCCATCCAAAATAGCTATACAAGGTTAATTCAGTTTCATCTAGATATACCACAATATTACAGAATATTTACATACTCCTTAAGAGTCCAAAAATTTATCAATAAGCTCGTCAATATGCTTACTGATACACTACTTGTACACTGTATTTACCTATTGTCTCACCAACTACTTATAAACAGGATTTCATATAAGTGCAATTTCCACACTTCATTGACTCTGAGCAAAAGGCAAAAGAATGAACTACTTTACAGATCATTATTGATGAAGGTTTGATAATATGTTATCGTTAACTAGATTAAGTCATTACAGTGGAGAATAAAATAATACCGTAAAATGTTATAAGCAACTGTTGCTCTGAGACACGTTGGACCAAAGTGCTGAAGGTTTCTTTTGTGTAAGCTAGTCTTTGTCAGAGCAATACACACATAAAGATCATCATTTTCTATGTTCAGAATAATCTCAATGTCATGGTTCTTCATGTCAACTTTCCAGTGAAAGCGATCATTAATACCACCCCCAAAATATGCTGCTGCATCCATCGATGTAAAATTGTGGTTTTGCCCTGTTCGATAACAGGTGACTCGAAATTTTGGGATACAATTTCCATGTTCCTGTTCAGAAGTGGAACTTATGGATACTGAAGATTCATTAAGAGCTGGGTGATAATTTATCAGTTCTTTCAGAGACAACTTCTCAAACCCAGTAAAATATGACCAAACTTCAAGCCCTTTAGTCCAATAAATCTCTTCTGCTAGTTTTTCTAATTTATCTTTAAGCTCTTCTTTTTCTTGAGGAAAACCAAAATTATTTACTCGGTGCACAACCAAGTAGATGTGATCAATTCCACGAAGATGTGAAACCTGCAAAGAAAGAGAAAATGGGGTTATTAAAGCTTTTAATAAATACATACATGTTTAAACACAGAAAATGAATTAAGCAAGAATAAATGGTTTTCATTTAAAGACCCAAGATACTTAATGAAAATGAGAAACACAAGCTGATCAAAGGGAATTTTTTCATTTAAAATAAATACAAGAAACATCAAAAGAAGGAATGAAATCCACACACCCACATGGAAAAAATTTAAGGTAGACTTGATAGGCTTGTATGTCTCTGGTTACTTGTACAATTTTGTATCTATTCTAAGAGTCAGGGTTGCCAACCATCTGCAAACTTATGGATGGTTCCTGTCCCCTGAGAAATCCTAGGGGGTGTTCCTTTTTCTGAAAGTTAGAACTTCAAGTTCAATATAACTTTGTAAGCTTGAGGGACAAATGTTTCTGACCACACTGGGTTGTCTTTCATGCCCCCAAAATAATTATGTGACCTGAAAGATTTTTGAACCTAAATTCCTGCCACGAATTTGATTTGATTGGCATACGCATTCACTGATTCAGGTAACATAGGTGTCCTAAACTGATGTTTTTGTTCTTTTGCTTTTAGTTTTACGGGGGGTAGTCCCTACAAACTACAGAGTTATGGACAGCACCACTATTGCACTAACCTCTAACTTTAGTATCACTCAATTTCAGTGCTACTACTAATATTACTATAGTATTAGTAGGCCTAGTTAACGCTACTAATACAGTAATAGTAGCGTTAACTAGGCCTACTCAACACGCTCACTGTTATTGTTAAAGTAAAGCAAAAGAAACGTACCTCTTTTACCCTCTTACATTCTACATCAAAGAATATCCGCCCTCTTTCTGTACGTGCACCGACTCCAATCTTTTCTTCGCACTCTTCCTTTGCAATTAGTTCAAATCCAGTTACAACAGTTGCCTCAACAGTGCAAGTGGGCTTATCAAAATCGTCGTTTATTTCTTTGTTGCTCTCCATTTAGCCTACAACATGTATTGACCACGTGTTCTCTATATAAGCATTACACAACATAAAAAATGCAGTTCAAATTCATTATTAAGATCCACACCACAATCTTATTTGTTATACATGAAAGGAAAATATTATTTAGTAAATGTTTTACAGTGACAATTTCTTTAAAGACGGAAACTGATATAAACCAAACTTTTCTGGAACTTTATAACGTTAATCTAATTTAAATATTAGAGAAAATTGAGAAAGAACATGGTTAAGAAAAATAACTGTAATCGTTAAAATGCTATTAATTATTCGGAATTCAAAACTAGTAGTGTTTAGCCAGCCAGATGCCGTTTCAGCATCTAAATACTGTGTAAGCTCACAGTTAAGTCAATTTGTGCATTAAAAGAATGTCTCACATTCCTACATATTGTTACGTCTCCGTTCGTCAGTTAATTTTCCGTAAAAATTATTTCCGAAGAAACTCTAACGGTACAAGTCCTTTCTTAAATAAAACTGGTTTATTCTTTCTGAATACAACTTTGCAATACACTTAATTTGAACAGTCGCGGTATAACCAACGCTATAACTCACAACGAACGTCTCACGTGCCTAACAATATTCTCTGTCTACATATTGTTACGTCTCCGTTTGTTAATTAACTTTCCGTAACTTCGTTCCGACGAAACTTTAGCGACACAAGTTCTTTACTTAATAAAACTGGTTTATTCTTTCCGAATACAACTTTACCGATACACTCAACTTCAACAATCGCGCTAAACAAACGCTGTAACGTCTCTCGTGCTCTCTGACTGCAGTTCAATTACTCACTGTCTATACACACATTACCGCGTCACGTTGTCCCCCTCTTTTATATACCCGACTACCCTATATCTAGTAAATACTAGAGCATTCGCCAAAGTACAGGATAGTTCTAGAAACGTGGCGTCACAGTAGTCATTTGACTCGCTGACGCAACAATATATTCAATTACTCATTACCTTATTGCCGTCACGTTGTGACCGTCTGATATATATAAAAGAATACCGAGATCTAGTAAACTCTCGATATTTCAGGAAGGGACGTGAACGTTCGAGAAGCTTGTGGCGTGATACTAGCGTCACGTGACTTCCGATGTCGTAACAATGTCAATTTTTCAGTCAAGGTAAAATTAAAGAATGAGTAAACGTAGTTTTTCTAACTTTATTTGGCAAAAACTTTAAATAATCAACAAATATATCTCACCTGTCACTCATCTCTCAGTAGGTTTCAGACTTACAATGACAAAATCTGGGGTTCGATTTTTCTTGAGGACAGAGCGCAAAGAGCTCATTGTGTAGCTTTGCGCTAAAAAACCAAGAACTTCGTGCTTTCGCATGTCTCACTTAATTTCAGAGCAAACGTCGCCTTTATTTCTGAGCCAAAAAATGAGATTACGCATATAACATGACTAATAAGTTATTACTTTTTTTTACTTAATCATACATGGGTTTAGGAAATAAAATATTGTTAACAACGATGGTACTCAAGTGATAAACAATGCATTCTAATATCTATAAGTAAGAACGCAATAAAAGTATATTTAATCACTTATACTCATTACTAGGTTGCTCCGATCGGAAATAATATTAATCAATATGCGTACTGGTAAGTTATGGAGTTGACACGAGGTTCCCCCAGTGGTACAAGGGGATGAACTTGTACTTCGCGTACAACGTATCTTAATATAATGGACGTAGCGTGTATGTCAGTATCTATGTTTGTAACCAAAACTCCTGCGCCATCTACTGAATGGCAGCACAAACAAAAATTCACACTTTAAGTATTCATGATTCAGACAATTAAAAATATAACTGCATTATGTGCAACGACCCTTTCTTTATAATAGAACACAATTTTAAATAAAAGTACTCTCCTTACAACAAGAAGACGACTTTCACAAGAAATGTACGTGAGAGTTTGATTATATTTTTATTGATATAATTTTTACATGTAGTACTGAGAAACTGGAGTTCTTAAAAACTATTCCTTTTTCAATGAACGGTACCACTAACGACTAACGAGCACAATCCGAACAATTTTCCCGTGCAGTACTTCCCAGAAAAACATAATTCTTTTTTAGAAAATGTTCAGTTTTAAAAAAAAAGTTCAATGAGGTATGTACACTACGATAAGTAATTACTAATACATGCAGCCGCCCGTATGGCGGCGTTTCTGCTAGTGTACTAAAATTATTTCACTACTGAAACATTGTTAGCATAAAAAACAAAAAAACAAAACAAAAAAAAACAAAACAATATATAAACGAGTTTGAATCCTCGACTTCTCGCGTACGAAGCTTGTGCTGTGCCATATGAACCAAAGCCCAAAGATTTTTTCACATATGAAACATTATTAAGTGGAATACTATATATATATGAGAAGGGTATATGTTTTAAATACATAAATCCTTTAAATAATGCTGTTGTTGTATTATGTAGCTGGACATGAATGAAAAAAAAATATATATCTCTGTACACAACATTTTTTATATAAACACCTTGTCTTTCTTGATAATCGCCATCTTTGACTAAGATTTTGAGATTTTTCCTTGATCAAGCTCTTGATAAAACTTCGTTATAAAAGAGTGAACCTTTAAAATTATGGCATCAAGAAGTGTAAAAATCAACTGTCTTCGTTCGTCGCTATTTTTGTTTTTCCTTCCATAAGGATATTAACTTTTTTTTACTCTTCCCTAAGGTATAAACAATAACGGAAATGGTGTAATATATTAGTTCTCGTTATTCCTGTATGAAACGTATTTACAATTTATGTCTAATTGTCGATTTTAGGCGCCTGTATTGAGATAGTTGGAAATGTATAATAATCATAAAATAGTGAATTTTTAAAACTGTTATATCAAGAAGGGTTAAAATCAACTATTGTCATGATTATTTTGTTTGTTTTTTATAAATTTATTGTGTGTGTGTGTGTATATGTGTCTAAATCATATTTGTGTGTATCATCTGAAACCTGTAATTATTTTCTTTCGCGCAATGTCTTAGCTGTAGAGCATCGAAAATGAATGAAGTGGTGGCATTGACTATTAAGATCTATTACTTTTGATTATATAGTTGATAAACTCGTGCTTCGCGTACGAAGCGTATTTAAACGTTAAACCTTATTGTCGATTTTTAGACGCCTGTTGGAATTTGTATTGAGATGTAATAGTATTGCGTTATTTATAAACCACGTTAAAATTAGCCAGTAGGAATATTGGGTTTCCATGTGAGCTAGCACGCATACAATCATGGGCTGACTGACACACATTATTCTTTTAATTACGTAGATTTAATATACACTAGGTAGCAGGTGAGATGGCGTTTTCAGGGCAACTAAAATATAGATAAATGGTAAAAGGAAAATCACATAAACGATAAATATAACCATAACAACAACAACAACAAAGATGGAAATCCACACCTCACTAACAGATAAGACAGTTTCACAATTTTCTATTATGGGATTACTGAAAAGTGATCCAAGTTAAAGTTTTGTCCCTCCTATTTATTTGCCTTGATAGTTTGTCGAGGATGTCCAGACTGTTTGCAGATAAATAAATAATCCTATCCAATTTGTAAGTTCATAATGAAAATATATGGTCTATGACTGAAATAGTTATTTTCTGATTCGATGGTGAATACAACCCAAACGTTTTTACTTGCCTTTGTGTTTTCCATTCAAAGAATTCTAACACTAAATTTTAGGTCCTTGACTTTGAATAATACGAATATAATATAAGAGATTATAAAGTCAGTGATGGCGGTAGAAATCTTGTTGGCATAGCGTGATCATAATAAATAATATTTATTTTAAGATAAGACTTATTGCATTTTTAACTCTGCGTTTTTTATTCGGATCCTTAGAGTTGTTCCAAAAAAACAACAACAACAGTATAATAGCCATACCCATATTGTTAGTCTGCCAAGTGTAGTTGTTTATGTTCCTAATAGATGGCAGTGGTGTAGGATCAACTTGATTATTACAGTATAATATATTCAATAAATGTTGGTACCTGATGATGACAAAACCTTGTCGAAACGTTGTACATTTGCTGTCATGTTAAACTTATATTAAAGTTTTTCTTCATTACCCATTTAAGCCGTCTCCAGCCAATATTAGTCTCAAAGTGGGTTCCTCGTCATCGAATTTCAATAAATGTTTATAAAGTATAAATATCGAAACCTTTAGACATGTTTTACAGCTTCGGATTGACTCATGTTCGTGGTAAAATTTTGTAACTACATGATTCATCAAATTTTCTTTCTGAATGTGTGTTATTTTATTAAAATTTAGGTGTCACTACATTTCCTTTATCCACTTTTTTTGGAAAATTCTATTATTATTATTCCGGCTTTCCTCCGTTTTAAGAACCTTATTAGTTTCTCCATTAAATAAAACATGGGTACCTACACATATCTGTCATAATTGTTTATTTTCTGTAACTGTAATACGATTAATACTAAATGAAAAATAAATATCTGTGAATTTTGCAAATTTGAAAAACTTTTGATAATTAGAATAGAAAAAAAAACCAGCCTAATTTTAGGATATTTTACCTTTCGCAATGTATACTTTCTAGATTTTACCAATCTGTTCTAACTTTTCTAAGGATAATTCAACTCATATTCGTGCATCATTACTCAGTTTTCTTTTTCTTTTTTTTGACATGAGTGACGGATTTATGCACCCTCTTCAGATATAAGTTACTTCATTTTTAATCGGGCGTCA